CGTGATTGTTCCATATTAATCTCTAGCTCCGCAAACTTATTCCGAAACCTCTGTAACAACTTTATATACTTCTTAACAGCCTTGGTATGCATGAAAAGTAGTAAGTGTATGGAAGATGTGGGATGCCTTCCACGATACACCGTTTCAATTCTTTACCTGATAGTTGGGATGTAAGAGGTCGCTCTGTAACCTCACAATGCTGCCAGTCTATAAAGTCAATGTAGTATAGCGCATTGCCTTTGATTGCTGGAATCGTGAATTTGTGTATTAGCAGAGGTGGATTATTTAACCATGACCTCGCAGAAGGAAATCTTCATGCATATAACTTTCGAATATATTTATAATCGTCTACGAGCATATCTACAAGCTACTCCGGAGCATAGCTACTCCGGATGTGCAGCGTAACCATTTTGCCGAGAATCATCTATACTGACTTTCAGGTTATCACTGAGATACCGAAAGAACACAAAAGAGATTATTCAAATAATCCTTAATTGTTGGATTGTATTTAATGTGAAACCACACTGGAGCGTGTACCCTGGTGATAAAAGAGCCGTCTGCTTGAAATAATAGTTCGTAAGATGCACGAGGACCCACTGTAATGATGATGAATTACTGATAACAGAAGCTTTACACATTTCAGTTTAACATCTTTGTCATCCGTAACGCGTCTAGCGCGTTCAAGTGATACTTCCGCAGGGCGGCCGTAACGTTCTTCTACATTTCAAGCGTTCTTCTACATTTTAAAACTTTTAAACGTTTAAAACGCATTCTAAATGTTTACTTGTTTAAGTTTTTATTTTTGTGTGTTCTAATACCTCCTAGAGAGTAGGCGGTACTAATCAGGTATTCTATATCTAATTGAATTTCCCTCCGGCTTTTATGAATATTAGCGTCATTTTACATAAGACACAAGACAGTGAGAGATGGCTTCAACGTCTACTCAGCAGAAAAGAGAAAAAACGAGGTTTAGAATTGGAAAGACAAGAAGGATATAAGTTTGATGAGTACAATCCATAATAAATCGATGAACTGATGTTGGAACACTGAAAAGAACTGTACAAAAACCAATAATTGTAAAAGATTACAACAAAAAATGTGAGGAGTGGGCCACCTGGATCAGATGTTATCAAATTATCCTGCTGTCAGAAATAAGCAGGGATATTATTATTATTCCATTATGCTTTATTTCCTTATAATTTTACTTAATATTCATTGACATTCATCCACTACGAAAGTCAAGTATGGAAAGTTATGATGTACAGAGAAAACAACATTACACGCTACGAAAAACAGACGGCCGCTGAGGGAAAATTTTCGCGGACAGGAGAGGACGGCGAAAGGGTTAAAGATTAGATAGATAAATAGTTAAATGGTAAGGAATGTTTCAAATTTAAATTATTATGATGCATGAGATTGATCTGATTTTTGAAATTTTGTTCTTAAAAATGCTTTAAATACGCTTGCATTAAGAAATATGGCGAAAATAAATAATAGTATGCATTCGAAGCATCATTTTAAACAGATCATGCAAATGGAAAGCACAGATTTATTTAGTATACATTCCCCTAAAAACCGGACATGCATTTGTACGCTGTTTGTCAAATAAACCGTTTAAGAAAGGGAAGAAGTAGACCTCCTTATAAAATAAAGGAGGTGTTGTTAACTCTCCTTCATAGGTAATAGAGGTGATACTAATTCTACTTCACAGTTAAAGGAGATAATATAAATTCTACTCCACAGGTAAAGGAGCTGATATAAATGTAATACACATATACTGAAGTAGGTGATGTAATACCTCCTCCAAAGAAGGGAGCGTTATCTTTTTGCGCTCACGAAACTCTTTGTATTGGAAACTTTTGAAGGAAGACAAAACAAACGGCATTTTCGACGCGAACTGAAAATAAACTATTCTTGTTGACTCTTACCTGTTTAACTAAATCCTTATTAAGTAGATTGTTTGATTATTGTTAATTGAGCTCTGAAATAATGCATAAAGCAATGGTCTCAAACTCTCGGCGCCCGCAGCAATTTAATATGGCCCGCGAATGCAGTTCAATAAGTATTTGTTGCAAATACAATACTTACAGTTTAGAGACATCAAGATATAGATTGAGCTTATGTGTACGACTGTCATTGATGAAAGAAAGATAGAACGAATAAGTTGGAGCTTTGTCTTTGTAACTGCATCCTTGTTCCCTTACAGTGAGCAGCGTGACTACTGTAAGGGAAGGGGAGAATTTTTGCCCATTGGTACAACTGGCAAATTTATTTTACCAGACGACAACTGGTAGCGCTTCAACGTATTGATTTTACATGAAATAATTGTTTCGTCTGAAATTCAATATTTAGCTGTCAAAACTTTTTAATTATCATTTATTGAAGTATAATCAAAAGAAGTTTTTTTGCAGGCACCCATCTTTAGATTTCAGAAAAAAAAATAATATTAATTTTATATTTTTTCTTTGAGTTATCATTGTTATTATTTATCCATGTTTCAATAAGTACTTATCATGAGAAATTTTAAATTTAATTAATTTTTTTATTAAAAGTTTTCTTAAATTTTGTTAAAATATTGTTCTGGCTCGTCAGCTGCTTTAAGATCGTGCGTGTGGCTCCTATGCAGTTTGGGTTTGAGACTATTGGCATAAAGTATTATTAAAATAGTTAAAAATAGCACAAAGTATACAATTATGATATGTAACAAGTATTCGGCTTTACTTATTTTCTTCTTGAAACTAAACATTTTTTATTAAAATCTATTAATCGACTAAAAGTTACAAGACAGGTTACGACAGCAAAAAATGTGCTAATATTATTCCAGCAATTCCAGCAAGTAAGCATGACTTTTAATAATTTTCCTTAGGAGATCTGTATTCTTAAAGAACTCTATCATGATAGTCTAGTAAGTAGTTTGCAGGTATTGCAATAAACATTAGAAACATGCATGTATGTTTCAGGGCTATTTCCTTTACTCCTCTAAGGTTGTCTTATAAGGTATTTCTCCCGCCTTCTTAGCATGCCTTCCTGGTGTAACGGTCAGCACGCTGGGCGCGTATTCCAGAGGCCAGAAGTTCGAGTCCCGGTGAGAGCATTGCTCATTTTTTATGTCTCCTGCTTCCAAATAACCTAATGTCTCTACAGTGGCGCCCGAGTTAAAAAAAGGCAGTGAATGATTCTCCACCACCAGGATTTGGCGATTGGGTCCCCTAATCCCCAGTCTCCCTTTAAAAGGGGGAGTATATAAGGTGTTTCTCCCGCCTTCTTAGAATGCCTTCGTGCTGTAATGGTCAGCACGCTCGGAGCGTATTCGAGAGGTCCGAGGTTCGAGTCCCGGCAAGCGCATTGCCCATTTTTCTTTTCTCCTGCTTCGACATAACTTAATGCCTTTACAGGCTTGTCGGAAATTTATACTTTTCGTCACTTAAGCACTGACCGTCACTTAGCAGCAAACTTTTATCTTAGACTTTTTCTCTTAGACATGTTCAAACATGTAATTTCAATTCCTAATCAATTCCTGACATTTTTATCCCTAAACTCATGTGTTGCTTATCTGTAGCGAGGCGCGAGAATTAAATGATCATTAGGGAATTGTCAGCAGGATATTTTGCTAGCAAGCAGTTAAGCAGATTTTCTTGGTGGCCGACCAGGAATAACACAGTTAATAATCGCTTAATTGTTAATTTCATACCTGCTGTGTTTAACATGCCAGAGGAAAGTATTTCATTTCCGAATATTTCCTTCTTGTCTAATTTCAGTAAAGCATTAATGTTACGGGATTAAAAGAGCGGTTCTTTTGTGTTTGATAACTTTCTGGTCTGCTGCATATAATCAGCTTTAAGCTGAATGTGGGCAAATGCAGCATGCAGAGAAGTTTATGCTTATAACATCTGAGACTAGTTTAAATCTTCCTCGAAATTCATATAAGGTTAGTTTGTAAGCAAAGGATTAGTTCAGATGAAACACAGCTATTTGCATTAAATTCGAGATTTTTTAAGTCTAAGATAAAAGCTTGCTGCTAAGTGACGGTCATTGCTTAAGTGAATGGTAAATTGAAGGCTGAAGTTGCTTGAAGAAGTTGCCCATTACATATGTTTTCCTCTTACAAGTGAATATGCGAAACAAGCCAAAAGCAAAATTGAATAATCATTACCTTTTGCGATTAAAATATGTTTTTACTTTTTATTTACATAAAAATCTTGTCTTAGGATCTCAATTAGTAGTTATCAGCATGATACCAAAATGCTAAAAGATCCAGGATAAGGATCAAGAAACTAAAAGATCCAAGTTCAGGATGTGCAACAAACAAAAAATTATCAAGAACTCTTTCATTTCGTAATTTTGATTTCTTTCATGATTGAATCGGCTTATTTGGGATATGTATTAAACTAAGGTATGCATATTAGACTAAGAACAGAATCAAAATAGAAATTACGGTTACTGAGATTTTCCAGATTTACATTAAATACATTGTTATTGTTCTATTTAATGCAATTCATACTGTGTTGCTATTGTAGAGTTTTCAAGTCACTATAAATTAACAGATGTGAGTCTTTAACCTAATGCAAAAAAACTGGACCCCCAAATACTTGAAGGACTCATCAAATATATACAGAAATAATATGTGCAGTTAAATTCGATTAATTTCGACTGAAATGCAGACGAATTAGGACACTGCTGATTGTTAATCACAATACCAATACGATCAGTCACTATTGGCTATTCAAAATTCTGGGTTTGTCCGGAATCAAGGTGTTTTTATCTAATCTCGAGACGATTGCTGCGAATTAAAAATGGCTAAAGAGCTCCAAAGTGCGACAAACTGCATGTTTACACTAGCGAACTCTTCTTTAACAGGGAAGTGGTAGGAAGGAGAAGGGTGGTGGTACTCAATCTTTGGTAAGGGTAAAGTCACTTCGAGTACCACACATTATTTATTTATTTACATAAGCAAGGACAACGGTTCAAATTACCGCTTTTTGCACCCGAACCTTTGTATTTTATCCCTTCCTAAGCCGCTTTATTTCACTTTGCCCTGATTGCAAAGGCATATAATTTGCCTCCCTGCGAACTTGCTTGAATTTCGCTTCCAACAGAGCTGCGAATAGAACTTTCCGAAATCATGGGCAATTTCAGTGGCCACATAGAAGGTTAGCTTATTTTTCATTTAATGTAGCTTATTAAAAAAGCTTTTGAATTTTTTTCTTTAAAGAAGGTTGTTGATTTTTTGAAAATGTACTTACGTTTGATTTATTTGAAGAGATTTCTTTGCTTATTAAAATAATCTGACTTTAGTATATCAGTCAAGCAAAATCACAATAATCTCGTCATAGATTCAAATATTTCTTTTACCTTTTATCTGAATATTATGCTGAATTTACTGTTTAATGTTTTTATAGAATTCTGCGTTGCTGAATTATGACAGCATTTATCAGATTAAAACATTTCTAATAATAGGATATAAATACTATTAATAATGAAATATAAATAATATGATTATTTATAGCAATGAAATGAATATAAAAGCAATCGAATTATGTTTTAAGAAAAATAGCTCTTAATATTTTCTAGAAAAAATAATCCTTTTTCATATACTCTACGGAAAACGGAAAACTATTTATTTACATATTAGCTTACATACTATAATTTTCTTTTACTATTACTAAAAACCCATTTTCCCACTTATCCTTTTTCATTATCCATTAATTACTTATCCTTTTTCATTTTTCATTTAAAACTATTTATTTACGTATTAGCTTACATACTAGAATTTTATTTTAGTATTAGTGAACCACATGGCATTTATAATTTTGTTGCTGCCGCCCAGTCGGTATAATGGTTAGGGAAGCCTACTGCGATACCGAAGGATCCGGGTTCGAATCTTGGAGAAGGTATGGATGCTTGTAATTATATAGTGTCTTTGCGGCATGGGGGAACTCTAAATACATGGCGAGTCGAAAATCCTCTCGAGAGGTTGCTGGTAAAGGAAGAGCGGTAGGAGACCCATGGATCCATCCTCTCGGGTGCTCTCCATCAAAACTGGGGCGGAATTGAGCGAAGTCGTGCTGTCGCCAGTATGATGCTAAAGAATTTAGCCAACGACAGGCGCAATGTTGGTCTCCTTGCCACGCTTAGTTTAGTGCGGCTTGTTCTGATGTTGCTGTGAGACAATTGCGATAAGTCGCAACAACAAATAATTTTGTTGCCCTGCCTCTTTTAATTTTAGCAACTGGGCTCTTCAGGCAAAATACTCAACAAATGAAACCAGTTTTGCAGTTCAATAAATACAATCAGTTCAAGAATACTTTCACATAATTAGTTTATGATTCGTACTTCTCGGCTTTGCAAATGAGTGTTTTTCTAATTTGCTGGAGATAGTTTTAAAGATACATTTAAGAAAGGGAATTATGTAGCCTCTTATTAATTAACAGTAAAATTAGGAGAGTGCAATGCACTGAGGTTTTGATAACTGACACAAAATAAATTTTAAATAAATGCTTTTGTCTTCGTAATATTCCGTGAGCATGTAGATTATCTGAATCCTCTGCAATCCATGAAACAAGGTAAGCAGTTTTAGAGATAGTTTTAAAATGTGACAAAAATTAGCGTCGAATTCTAAATTGTGTTGATATGACTGCAGATGTAAATTGTCTCGTTGATTATAAGTTACGTTTTACTCTTTCAGCTAAAGTACTAAAATGAAGCTTAGTTCTGAGTTTATTAGAGAACAATATAACAGAAAGTATGTGAAGGAATTATTATTATCTAATCAGGGGTACTGAATTTTGTAGAAACGCTTTTTTTTTTTTTTTTTTTTTTTTTTTTTTTTTTAATTTTGATATCAAAGTTCGTTTATTACTTCAGTACTATATGATAAAGTATTACAACTACAAATCCTATGCCAATATTTTTAATTTATCATTTTTCAATTTTGGAATCTGGAATGAAATTCTGCTTTTAGTGGGAAAGTACAAGCGTCATCCATCAGAAAGCAAATCCTAGAATGCCTTCGATAAATAAGACCTTCTTATTCTGATTTAATCTGATTAAATTCTAATTTAATCTCACTTCGAAAACGCATTCAGGTGAAACTAGTGACAGTAATATATTTCAAGCATAACTATGTGTAAAATAAGTAATATATAACAAGCTCTAAAGGAGAATTTAAATAAATAAATGTCGTACTTGCAGATGTTAAGGCATTTGTTTGGAATAGTGGACATTAATAAAAAATCTAAATGCGTTTTACGCGCAGAAATTTCTGTGATTATTATACAGATGCATCATGTCCCTTTTGACTGACATTTGAAATGATTAATGAATAATCAATTAACATAAAAATGTAACTGGCAAATTTGCAATAAGTTTACAGTGAATATAATTTTTAAAGTAGTTATATTTTATTTAAATATATTGGAATGCATATCAATGCTCTAGTGAAATAATTAATTAGCTTCTTTTCTTCCCCTTTAAAAAACATATATTCCCTAAGCCATACCTTTATGTAAATTACAAAGCATCATCCCAGAAAGCATAGTAAATTAACACTGCATTGAAAAGCAGCAGCACAGAAGAATTATGTTCATAAAAAACCAGCAATTTCAACATACGCCAGGAATTCGCCAGGAATTTCAACATACATTTATGAAAAGCGAAGAAGTTTCTATATGCGTTTATAAAGCTTAAAGCAATTTCACAGTATGTTTATTTAAAAAAAAAAACTAAGTAATTTCAGCAGGCATTTGTAAACTGTGAAAGAACTGCAATGCCATTTATAAAAAAAAAGCAATTTACACAGGCGTTATTAAAAAGCATAACGATTTCAACAAACATGGATAAAAAGAAAAGCAATTCTAATATGCATTGGGAACTGCCTTTCAGATAATTCCAAGTAAAGAAAAATTAAAATTTAAAACAAGAAAATTTGTGGCTGGAAATTTCCTGGTTGAACATCCATGTGGAAATAATTTCCACCACTGGAAATTTCCTGGTTGAACTTCCATCCATATGGAAATAATTTCCATCACTGGAAATTGCAGCCAGAAAATGGATGGGAACTCAAGATCGGTTCGTTCTGAAGTTAGACTCTCCCCAAAAATTTACTCTCTCTTTTACCCAAAACTAAAATGAGCTTTAAAAGTATAGAAGAAAAGAAACTTATTTTTCAAATCAATTAGAAACTTTTATCCCAACCTCAGATATTAAAATAAATTGTTTCTCAAATTTAGCTAAGGTAAATGTCCAATAAGAAAACCGTTAAGGAAATATAAACTGTTAAGAGAAAAAAGAAAAATTAGAGCAATATTAACCGTTAAGGAACTTTTGTTGATGATTTCACTTATTTCACAGCACTACCTAAAAAATAGGGGAACCTAGTAAATTTTAGGAATTTATCTGTAATGATTTTATTTGTAAAGTTTCTCGAAATAAAACAGTACAGATTGATCGAAGCTTACCCGATTCGATGTAAAGAAGGAAGCAAAACAAATTTTAGATGCTTTGTATAAAAATCTGGGAGTTACTTTATATATTTAATTCCTGAAAGCTAAGCTATAATTTAAACTATTTATTGCATTTTAATAGTTCAACTGCTTAATACTGAGATTCTGGGATACTGAGAATATTTTCTGACTTGTTTCAATGAAAAGCATGTCCAGGACATTTAACTTGACTGAATAGCTGAAACAGTTCTGAATTCACCTGAGAGAGCTTATAATTTTTTAAAGGTTAAGAGTAGTTGTGCCAAGCTGATCTAAAACTGCTTGTTTTGTAGAGACGTTAGGTATTATTTTGGAAGGAGATAAGATGAAAAATTATCAACGCCTTCGCCAGGAATCGAACCACGGACCTCTGGAATACGCGCCAAGCAGACCACACCACGAAGTGCAGCTTCGATTAACAGGTGGGCAGATTTAACCAATCAACAGACACTTTCACTTAGAAAATTAAAAACATTTCATAATTTTGTAGAGACATTAGGTATTTTTTGAAAGCAGGAGAGATGAAAAATAAGGAGTGCCCTTGCCGGGACTCGAACCTCGGACCTATCGATCGTGCTGACCATTACACCACGAAAGCATGCTAAGAAGTTTGAAGAAATACCTTATATAATCCCCCTTTTTAAAGGGCGATTGGGGTTTCTAGGGCACCCAATCGCCAAATCCTGTGTGTGGAGAGTCATCATCCACCACCCTTTTATTTCAGGCGCCACTGTAGAGACATTAGGTATTATTTTGGAAGTAGGCAGGATGAAAAATTAGCAGCGCATTCTCCGGGAATCGCACCACGGACCTCTGGAATACGCGCTTAATGTGCAGACCACCACACCATTAAGGCACGCCAAGAAGGGGGAGAAATACCTTATAGTTCTAGCGGAATTAACAGTTGTTTTTAAGGTAAAATAATAACATAAATATTTGGCCTTAGATAACAGCGAATAAACAATGTGTTCTGTGTAATAATTGGCAATTATCAATTTTGTGGATGCTCTAATTACAAAGTGTATTTATTAATAGTGGTCTTATGTATTGATCATTTCTTTGAGGCACACTGATTTGAATGAAAAGCTATTGATTCTTTTCTTGTTATCATGCAGTCAAGTTCCCATGATTCTTGATGAGCTTTTAAATAATGTCAGAATAATGCTGAATAACGTCTGATAAAGAAGGAGAAAAGGTTTGCTTTTATCAAAAGATTTGTTGTTTTTTATCTTCTGAATTCATTCAGCAGTACTCATGTAATATTTAAATTCGTAATATCACAAAATATTATCTCTGGTTGTCTAAATGCATACGTTACGTCATGCACTCGTCAAAAGTTTAAAGATTATTCTTACACAGAATTCGTATTTAATTCATGAATTTCGTAGTTTGGGACGTTATCAGTTTTCCCTTAGACGTGTTTACGATATGAACTCGGTCAAGGTTCCTTTTGTTTTGTCTGCTGGTTGTAGGAAATGAAAAGTTATTTTATCAATTTTTAAGCGCAGATTTGAAGCTTATAATTTACATATATGTGTAATATCTCATATAATAGTTTATTCCTAACAAAATCTATGCAAACATTTTCAATAAAAAAATGATTTGTTTTAATTTAAAAAAAGTAACATCTTTTTTAATTGCATTTCTGCATGAAATATCCATTTAATAAA